ATGAAAAAAAAAATTAAAAATTAAGAAATGGCTTCATATTTGCCCCTCGAATGTCTTAGTAATATTTTTAATTGTATTTATGATAGCGAAACGCTATATTCTTGTCTTTTCGTGAGTAGAGGTTGGAGTAACGGTGTTGTACCAATCCTATGGAGAAAACCATTCAGCAGACTTAGATTCAGATATAGATCATTATCATCCAATCCAAAAAATGGTGGACTTATTATCCGAACTTATTTATCCTGCCTCCCAGAATCTAAGAGAAATCAATTTTTTTCAGAATCGCACCAACCTTTCTCACCTCCTTTATTTTTTTATCCTGCTTTCTTGAGAGAATTGGATTTTGAAGGCTTGTATGATGAAATTTCAGATTGGTTAAATACCAATTTTAAAAATTCAAAAAAAATTCTTGTCGATTTGGACAATTCTAATGATCATTATTTTACTCGAAATGGGTTAAATAATTATGATCAAAATAAATTTTCTATGATTGAAGCGATTATAGAATTAATTTTTAAACATTGCAATTATCTCGACTATATTTATTTTGATGTCAGAAGATTACCAATAGTTTTTACTAATATATTAACAAGATATTGCATGCTTCATAATCCTATGAATGATCCATCATGGTTTCAACGATTAACGACTTTGGAATACCATGGAGTTGGTTCAAATTATACTATTCCTGACTGCGTCTCTCTGGATTTTTTATTCTCCTTATCAAAGGTTTGTCAAGATCTTACTTATCTAAAGATAAGGGCTTTCGCTGCTCCAACTTGTGATTCTTTGGCTTCTTTAATTCAATCCCAAAAAGGTCTTCGTAAGCTATTTTTATGGGAGTTGAATCTTCATGATATATCATGTATTATCGAAGCTGTTAGTAGTCAATCACATAGTATGAGAGAAATTGAAATGTTTCAATGTTCATTTGAACTTTGTGATTCCTTTGAAGGATTAGCATGTTGTCATAAATTAAATACTCTTTCGATAATACAATGCGATTATTTAACTTCTTATCTTTTAGATTCATTAGCAAATACACACTTCCCTTATATTAAAAAATTAGAATTAAAAGATTTTAATTATTCGTTAACTAATTTAAATCATGAAGATATTCCATCCGAACAAGTGAAGAATATTATAAAAAATTGTAGTGATAATCTTGAAGAACTTTATACTAACCTTAAATTAGATGATTATTTTGGTATTATTGAAACAATTTCAACATATTGTACACTAATTACTAGTTTAGAACTAAATATGCAAAAGGCTGAACAAATACGTGAGCTTTTACCTATATTAGAATCATGTCAAAAATTAGAGAAGTTAATAATTCAACCTTATCAACCAATGAGATTTCCATATTATAAAGTTTCTAATGAACAACTTCGATGGTTCGCAACAAAATTACCATCAAGTGTTCGACATCTTGAAATAAGATATTGGTCTATTTGCGCTCAAGATTTAGAAGATATGCTTTCAATATGTGGTCGAAATCTACATTATATAGCATGGGGGTTTACTGATGTTAAAGTTGTAGGTGATCAAAAATATTTTAGTCATGTTATTTCTGAATTTTGTAAGAAGGAATCAAGAAAGATTAAGAGAATAGGTTCTCCACAATTCAGTTGTATTAGTGAAGGTAGTCATCAAAATAATGGAACTGTTTTTGTAGAATTTTAATCTTATGTTTTTGTCACATAAGTGACATTACAGTAAAATTTATAGTTTTATATAAATTTGTTATTTATTAGCATAAATTATTGAGTCCGTTTATGATGCGCACGTTCATCAAAAAAAAAAATCATATGAAAACCTAATATCTTAAATCTACATTATTCAATAAATATAGATGCAAAAAGATATTTAAAGACGTTTTTTCAATAAGACGTAACTCAGTGATGTAAATCTTTCTGCACTTACAACTGCAAATAGACAGGGTTTATTGAAATAAACTAGTAATTGTACGTTGTAACCACAGCATAAAATGACCATAACTATTGCCCAATAGTTTACCAGTTGCTATAGAGAAAAATTTGACGATTCTCGTAAATTTATATGGGACAACCAGTGTTGGCTTGACCAGACCAGTTTGACCATTGGGCCAGACCAATTTGACCGGTCTGGTCAAAGGTCAAATTGATCAAATAGTATATTTAAATATAATTTATTATATAATATAATATATATTATATTTATATAATGGATTTGACCAATTTGACCAATAAATTTTTGGTCGACCATTAATTGCCCAACACTGGGGACAACGTATGGAAGGCATAGATACGGTTTTAAAGATCTTATAAAGCAAAGACTTATTTGGGAGTTTAGGATCTTATTAATATCCGGATTTCGCACTATGGCAAATCAATTAATCATAGTGCTTGGCACGATCTTGATTGCACCCTTAATCGTCAAAAATCTTGCACTTAAGTAATTTTTAAATTACTAACAAATTCGTAAATCAAAAATCTCATGACCATATATATACTGATATATATACTTGGCTTTAGACGATCCCTTAAGAGTCTATGCCAGGTTTTGTAGATCGTGATCGACAAATTAAGAAAAAATTTTTATATATAACACAGAATAGCTTTTCGACAAATTTGGTATAAGCTTATTTTTTAAGTTCTCTTCTAACCCAAACCTAATCACAATTTTAGCTTCTAAATTAGGCCGATGTTGATCCATCTAGGTCGAATAATAGATTTCTTCCGCGCAAAAAAGCTTGGCTGTTGAGTATCAAGGGTTCTGATTGGTTAAAATCAAACAACTGCGGTTTGCAAAATAATGAAAATAACGTACAGTATTATCACATAAAAAAGTAAATCTGAATGGGATTCTGCTTCTCTTGCTACTTTTAATATTCGACTTGTTAAGCCGGGCAAATAATTAAATATTTGGCCTATAAATTTGGTTGTAACGAGCGTAAAAAAATTATCATGACAATATTTAATTAAATAGTATGATTTTAAATTATTATTTATATATATATATCAAGTTATACAGTATAACTAGATTTCAAAAATTGATTTTAGACGAATTTTTTAATAAAAAAAAAGTAAATTTAAATAAATAAAAAAAAAAGAAAATATTTATTTGGTGCAGGGTGCACCGTGTGCCCCCCTATGAAAAATTTGAACCTAAGAATAGTTAGGGTTAGG